TGCTTTAAACCTACATGCAGCCTTAAACCTATTTATTGGCTTCTCTTTGAATTTTGTTTGAGTGTGTGTGCATGTGTGCAAGTGTGTGTGTGTGTGTGTGTGTGTGTGTGTGTGTGTGTGTGTTACAGCTAGTATGGTTCACTGTTTTTTTTGTTTTGTTTTGTTTTTTCTGGAGGTCTTACCAGGCAATTCTTCTTCCTTCATTGCAAGCGATTATCACTAATTTAATAGTAGGCCCAATATCAATGTTGCTTATAATGAGTTCCAAATATTTCCCAAGGGAGGAGAGGGAAAAGCTCAGAGAGAATTTCTCGCTAGCAAACTTAGCCTACCATAATTTGGGTTTTTATTAAATTGGAAAGATATTTTGTATAGAGTACTTTTCTCTCTTTTATAGCCTAAAAAGTAGATGAATACAGAGTCAATTTCAGCTTCTACATCTCATTGGTATTGCTCATTAAGCTGATTGTCTATATCTACTGTTTAATTCAGCTACCAAATAGATTCCTAGACCCATAAACTATGCTTTTATTGAAAAATATAAACCCAAACAAGAGGAGTCTAGACAGAGTATCCAAGAAAATCCCCCACTGTCAGCTTGGAAGCCTGAGGATGTGTATGGCAGCAACCTTCACTCTTACTTTAAGGGCAGAAGCATTCCAGTCTAGGGTGTAAGGGTTTGGTGGGTTTGGACCAGGCTGAATCATTATGGATTTCATAGTTGTGTGCTTTTAGCATTATAAGCCCAATAGAATACAGGTAGCATGCTTTATATACCCATTCTAGGCTTGTTGCAGGGCATGTTCTAGGAGTTGATATGAAACAGTGGCTGTTAAATGATTAAAATATTAAACATTTTAACAGGCACCTACTATATTTTAGGTAAGCTAAAACATGGTTTATATGTGGTATTTTTTTTATTCATATAACCAGTGTGAGATAAGTGCAAGGAGTCCTCATCCTCTTGGTATTCTTCACCTGAATCACTGTAATTGTGAGTTCTGTAGGAAGCAAAACCCCTCATAACAGCAAATCACTCACTAATGAGATGTCCCCTTAGAAAGCCATCCCCCCATCAACATGCATCCTCCACTGACACGCATGTGATGTCATTGCATCAGGGTATTTGTTGGTCATTCTCTAGTTGCAAATAGAATGTGAGCCCAAAACAAAGGAGCACAAAATAGGGTGATCTGTACACCAAAGATTAAAAGGTGCTTTTGAGAAAATTGATGAAAAGTGACTCAAGGCTATGATCAAAGTGACTCAAAGACGCTATGATCAAACTGTGTAAGCCAGTCATTGTTCTTTCATAGGATGATCATAAAATTATGTAATATTATCAGCAGCTGATATATTCTTTGTCCTAATAATGAGTGCATAGTTGCATTTATAATCAGCATGGTAGTTGGTATTAGATCAAATAAACCCACTTGCATACCCTTTAGTTCCAGAAAATGTCCCATTTAGACACGTTTTTATAATTTATTTAAATAATTTAATTCCCATTTTCATAGATTCATTTTTCAGTGGCAGTTTCCCCAGCAGGAATTATCCTCAGATGCTTTCTGTATACTTAATTTTATTTTACTGAAGAGGGAATTTCATGCTTGGGGGAGTTAAAACACTTTCATGCAGTCACTTCATTTACTAGCTGTTAATTTGAGAGAACTGTTTCCAAGTAGAGAATTTTGATGCCAAGTCCAGGTTTCTTTTCACCATATATCAACTATTTTAAAATTCTCTTTCTTTTATATTTTATATCAATCATACTTTTAAATACCTTTAATTTGGTCACCAGTGCCACCTCACGTGAAAACTCATTATCACCAAAACAATTCTTCACGCCTCTGCCATTAGGGGTCCCTTTTAGAATAATCATTGCTGAGAGGTAGTTGTGTGGTTGACTATTCCTTCCAGTCTGATGTTTGGAATCCCAGGTAGTATTTAACCACTATCATTGGAGATGGCACGCCTCCTTGTTATGCCATCTGTGTTCCATGTGGATAGATTTTGTATTTACAACTTCAGAATTTGTGAAAGAGTGCCTAATTTGAGGGGTACTTTCTCTGATTATTTATACAACCAAATATCCCTAACTTCAAAAGGACCATATTAAAAGATACCAAGTACCCCACAGAAACATCAGGTCCAGTAGTTTATCTTTCAAACTCTCATGCCTTTAATAAAAATAATTTTCTTACTGAATGTTAATATGAGACAATTAAACATCACAGTATACTTCAAAATATAAAGTTATTATTTGCTTTTTAGTTTTAAAAATGTATCCTTGGTAGTAAATGGCTTTGTTTGAAAATCATTTTTTTTTCATTAAATTTACTGGGGTGACATTGGTTAGTAAAATTATATAGGTTTCAAATGTACAATTGTGTTTGGATAGCAAAAGTCAGAGAAATCAAATGGCTATGCTTCCAATATATAGTTTTAAGATTATTTCAAAAAGTGATAGCATCATTTTTTTCCCCTATTGAATTCATTAGATTTCCTCCATTCTATGTCCAGGAGAAGATATCTGTCACTTGAATGGAAATAAATAAAATAGTTCTAAAGTAATGGCCATCCACATACCATTAATTCAAGAACAAGCTTAAAGTCAGTTGGTTAGAATGAAATAGAGCCCCTTTAGCTGTGCTAAAGGCAATACTACATTGTCATTACTCTTACAAAGATAGATAATAGAGCAGAATGCAATTGTAATGACATTTGGGTAATAGGTATTTCGGTCAAAAAATAAAGATTATTATAATACTGAAGAGCAGGCAAGAAAGATATTAATATAAAATCTTGAGCCAAATGTGTTCATCAAACAGGGATAACATTTCGTATGAATGAGATGATGCCCAACCTATATCATTTGCGTTGAGTGATGCTGGGAAGAACATCTGTCCAAACGCATATGTTCCAGTGCACAAGGAGGTGGAATGGGTAGCTTCTGTTGTTCGCCAAACCCATGTAATCTTTGACACAAATTTACCACCATCCAAAGTTTCTTTTATGTTTCCCATAAAAGACCTAGGTGGGTCCTATACCTGCTCTCTTTCCTGTATCTACTGAACTTCATGGCTAATACAGAAGCCTCTGGGACAAAACTTTCCAGGTTTGAATTCTGTTTCTCAACTTACTAGTTTTTTTACCTTATATACATGACTTAATCTCTCTGTGCCTCAGTTCCCTCATCTATAATATGGGAATATAATAGAATTTTTCTCTAGGGTTGTATGATTATTAAATGAATTGGTGTCTATAAAGTATTTAGGATATTGCCTAGCATGTGGTACCTGCTTAATAATTATATTGGTATTATTATTACATGTATTCAGATACCAGATAATATCATATCAATTTATGAATATCTAACTTAAATATTCAGTATTTAATATATATGAAGCACCGTGTTAGAGACAGAAACCCAAACCTCAAGGAATCTAGAATTCAGTGATTAGAACTTTCTAGTTTCCTTCAAGGGTCTTCTCAGAGAGCATTAGTTTACCACCAAATCTATGATAAATTTCCATTGGCCAGTAAAATGTCTAGTCCACTAAAAGAGTGAGTCACCCTTACTTGCCCCTGAATTTGAGGGCATCTGAGACTTGTTCCTACCCAGGGCCTTCAAGTAAATTCTATGTAGACGTGAAGTCCTCACTAACTTTCCTATTCTCTTAAGATATAAATGTAGAATCTTTGGAACTGACTAAAAACAACCCAGTTTTAATAGCTTTAGCAGCAGTGCCTCAAACCTGTTCTTGCCCTTGCTCTCTCTGTTCCAGGTACTTCTGTCAGGTCCTCAAACATGCTCTGGTCCTTTTTATCTCATGACCTCTTCACAAGCTCTTTCTTCTGCATGGGACACTGCACATCATGTCTGGCTGGCATGCTAAGATTTCTGCTTAAAGTGCAACTGCTCAAGGAAATGTTAACCGATTCCCTTCCAGATGAGGCTGCATCCCCATAGCATTTTCAAAGAGAACTCTGTTTTTTCCTTTAATATTTATCACAAATACAATTACATAACTAACTTTATCGTAACAGTGAGAGGGCACTATATTTATAGATACTAACAGTAATGAAACTATGTATACACAGTAACCTATATATACATAGTAGGGAAAAGAGTGAGTGGGAAAGAGATCAAGAGAGAGAAACACAGACATAGAAATTCCATCCACTATTCCACTTACTGAACCTTTGACCTAATGCCAAGGAGTGGGTATCAGCTGACATGGGAGCCATGCCTTTTCTTCAGTTATTCTTATTACCCAATTTTCTTTCATTATGAAATGGACCACCCAGCATCTCAATGTGTTTTTAAAACATCATGGCTCCTTTATAGAAGCCAACAACTTAATTTTATTCTCAGTGAAAAACAAAATTGGTCTTAAACTCAAGGAAAATTAGTCATGTTGAACTAATTGAGAAAAACTGTTGAGGCCTCAAGGTGTCACCTTCCTAAGGGATTTTCTAGGGTATTTGGATTGTGTGTAATTTTTACTTTACTTGCTAATTTAGAATGTAACAGACAAAGATGATGCGACTTTCTTAATTTTTAATATTTTGTAATCCTGGCCTAAAATATAAATTCTGTGAGGGCAGAAGGTATACCTGGCAATTTCATTACTGTATCCCTAGCATATAGCAGGGTACTGGATTATATTAGACATTAATAAATAAATATTTGTTGAACAAATTAATATTCTGCCAATGTTTACAGGACCAATCTGTTTGGCAACAAAACAGAGTTTGTACTTAAGGGCACTAAAGAAATAAAGACAGACTGAATTTCAGATCCTTAACATTATGCAGACCTTCGATAACCTGTGTCTCTGTCAAAACCTAAATTAAAATGGCAGAAAAACTGAAAGCTGGACAAAGTTCAGTGTATTTTAATAAAGACTTACATATGTGAAGCAACTTTCGGTCCTTTAATTCCTTTCCCAAGCCAAATTCTAACAGAAAAGCTGACACCTTCTTTATCGTTTTAGGTCGAATGAGCCGGACTCGATTTATCGTGATGCCAACCCAAGGAGAAGGACGGTCATGCCCCACTGAGCTTACCCAGCAGAAAACCTGCCCAGTGACCCCCTGCTATAGCTGGGTTCTTGGCAACTGGTCTGCATGTAGATTGGAGGTAGGTCATGTAATGACACTTAGAGAAATGCTTCTTAATATGTCCAAAACATTTGTCTGGTCAAATCTATGTGCTGATGGAATAAATTTCACAGCAGCAGGTACCTGGGGCAATATATTTTTATGCAATGGAGAACATGGAAAAATACAATCATGTGACTTAACCTTGAACTGAGTGATATTGCTAGGAAAATACATAGATATCCATTCGTCACTGATTGTAGTAGACCGGGTCGTGGGACTTTCCAATCTCTGGCATCCTCAAGAATTCTCTGTTATTTTCCTGGCTTGTTGGAAATATCAAACTATTATTTAATTAGATACAATTCTGATGCTGTCGAAATGTACAGCTTGAGGTAGGCTGTTTTTCTTAAAGAGGCACTTTTAGGCTTAGACAAAAGCTTCCATATAGTCAGAAAATCAAAAGTATGAAAGTTCTACTTTAACATTATTACACAAACCAAGCATACTCCATTTTCTTCAATGATAACTTTTTTTATTGACCTAAAATATAAATGCGTAGCAAAATCATAATATATCACATACCCAGAGCTTTTGCTGGATCAGCAGAGATCCTCTACTGCATTTTCTCTCTGGCTCCTTGTATAAGAAAAAGCACAATGACTTTTCATATTTTCTTACCTCACTAGTTTATCCTTCAGTTCATAGTCCAAAGTGTATTTTAATTGGGTAACAATAATTTTGATTATGCATTAAGAAATCTGCAGAGTATTCTCATAAAGATGTTTAGTGTTCCTGTCAGGAAGACATTGTCATGCAGCATTATTATCTTGCAGAACTTAAATGCCCGTGCATTGTAATATGTCCCAGGGGAACAGAAATGTGTGGCACATTTATTCAGTCTCCTTTTTACAGAAAATAAGGTAACCATGCAGAGTGATTTAATAGTAACCTAATGGCTCTATATATGAATACTTTGTCTACTAGTCTAAAATCTTCTTTCCTAAATCTTCAGCAATTTTTAAATGCTGCTTGGAATCACAATTAAGAAAATGGAAGGAATATTTCACCTTATAATTGTGATCACTGTTCACAAAGTAGAGAAAATAAGCTCCAATAATTCAGGAACCCATTGCACAAGAAGGGAGAGAAATGAAATTTAGGAGGGAGGGAAGGAGGAAGACTGACGAACTTTGTGCTCCAAGTCTCACCAGGCATACAGCTGCTACTACACCTTACTTGTTCTCTTGTATTTTCCCTTTTATCTTCTCAGGTGTCAGGAGTCTTTTTCCCCCCGACTAGATAAATCTGACATCTTTTCCAGAGGAACTTTATGGGGAAATGCCAAATGTTATATTTCATTTTGTTGCCACCTATTGACTTTTTGCCAGGACCACAGGGTCAAGAGTGGTGGGTTGTGAACACTGTCTGTAGCAGTGCTGGTGGGAACTGAGGGGTGTGGCCTCTGTTAGCAATACCCAGTCTTGGAGGCCCTGGAGACCTGAAGAGTAGGTGTATTGAGAAACATCAGCGCTGCCTTAGGTTTCTAGGTGCACCTCTTCTCACTCATTGACATGTCCTCTTAGAAGGAAACTCTGGAGTTAGACCTCATCCAGGCAAAGCTTTCAAAAAACAAGTCCATAATTAACTATTTGGACATGGGCACCTTCCCCAGACAGGGCCAATCAGCATTCTTCCCCAAGAATTTGGCACGAAACTGAAGTTGTTCAAAGATACTACTGTTCAGGAACTCTTACCTGCCACGTTGTCCCACCTTCTGAATAAACTCAGTCACTCAGAAGCAAGAAAGAATAAAGAAGGTAACACAAAGAAAAGCACAGGCGAAAGAGAAAGGGAACCATCAGGATATTTGAGTTGAGTTTTTCCTGAGGTCGAGTTGCATTCCTGTTTTTCCTGAAGCCTAATTGTGAATTCTTTGTGAGATAGATAATACAATATCTCTTCAGCGAGTTGCCTTTTCTTAAATTTATATGTAAGTTGAGTTTTTGGAGTTACTGATCAAAAAACACACGGGCCTTTGCACACAAGGGAAAACACCTCTCTTACAGCTGCACTTCAGGTTCTCCTTGGCCTGTCATATCCTAACCCACCACATGCAGGTTTAGAATCTGCTCATTCAGTGCGGGTGGTGAAAATACCCAAGTGATTGAGTTCCATCAAGAAGTTATCATCGGGCAGGCCGAGTGGCGCGATGGTTAAGAACTGGCTTGGGACACCAGAGGACCCCGGTTCGGATCCCACATATGAGGGCCAGTGACACTGCCCTCTGCAGCTAAGATGCTGAACAACAGCTCAACCTGGAGCTGGGCTGCCATGAGTCGCTGGCGACGGCGTAGGCTGCAGCCCCTGTGGCAGTGGGTTGCCATGGGCTACTGTGTGTAGCCAGCAGCCAGCGTGAGCAGCCAGCAGCCGCAGTGAGTGGGAGTCCAGAAGCTGGCGACTGATCTACCTCACGCAGGAAGAGCGCAATGATGGTGCCAACTTGGACCAGTGAAGCAGCGTCCTCCACAACTAGACTGAAGAACAAAAACGATAGCAATTTGTCTGTTCCCCTTCCCCCAATTCCCCAGCACTGTTCCCATCTCCCCAATTCCCCAATAAAATATATATATAAAAAAAAGAAGTTATCATCAAACCATAATAGGAAGAGAAGCTTGCAAAGGGCACAGTGGAGGTGCCCATTCTACCACTATCTTATGTGGAAAGAGATTAGCAAAAGGAAGTATGTCTCCCCAGGCTTCACTTTTTTTAGTGTTTTCTAACTCTTTCTTTCCAAGTTCCTCAGCTGATAAAATGTGTTCACACATATGTTGATCAATCATTTTTAGGAGCTTAGACCCTGGAGTTTCCAGGCCAGATTTTGGTCAGTGTTCTGCAAGTTCCTAGCTCTGCAATTTTTGCAAAGTCTCTAATTTTTGCAAGCCTCTGGTTTTATAAATCTATATCATAAGGGTAGCAGTAGTACCTATTTTGCTGGGGGTGTTTGGTAGGAATTAGATATTTTATAATACAGTGCTTAGCATACTACCTGGTCAAAGAACAGCTCAATAAATTGTACTTGCTATCATAGTTTGGATTAAAACTGCGATTATGATTGTTAGCACCATCTGCCTATTCACATCTGGTGGTACCAATTAAGAGTATACAGAAAGTCCATTAATGATCTGGACAGTTCAGACTTAGTGAGAGAATTCTTGCTGTTGACAACCCTTGCTGTTGAAGCCTGACTCAACTTTCGGGCCCTAGAGTGTGGAGTCTCATGAATGAGAGTGAGCGAATGCTTGTTTTATGAGTGAAATTACCATTCTGATGCTGATTTCTCTTCACATCGTGGCTGTTGTTGTCAAAGGTACAAGAGGTTAAGGTTGACTATGGATAGACATACGAGGAGCTTATTATTGTTTGTCTTGGTTTTTAAAGTGATCCCTGATGTGGACGTGTTGCCTCTCATTTCTTTGCACCCCGTCTCCTGCAATGTCAAACAAAACTCTAATCAGTTGCATCTCCTGTTACCTGAGGTTCCAGATAGCAGTGATTTCAAATTTTATGTGTTGCCATAACGTCAGACTCTTCTCTCCAAGCACACAAGGTCTCATTCTCTGTAGCAAAACATACACCTTAGACAATTATGCAACGGATCCATCATCTGGAATAATAAATTATGAGAGAGGACTCTTCCCCCAAAAAAGAAATGTAACTTACATTAGTTATTTTCCACTTTAGGAAGTAAACATTTACTAGAGCATTTGCTTTGAATGAATCTGCTGTGAACTGATTTTGCACCTCCACTTATCTCCAGAAAAATGCACTTAGTTCAAAATTAGGGGCTTTTTTTTTTTTTGACAATTTCTCAGCCATAGAAATGATGAGAGAAATTATGAGGTATTCATAAATCAAGTGTGGGAATTGCCATCTTAGTCAAATAAATCATAATTTTTGTTTACACATCTTTAGAAGAGGATGTAATGGCCCAGTTTATGTGCCCACTCAAATTCTTTAGGCTTTAATAAGCTACTACAACTTGGACTTCCTCCAAGTTGCACCTTTTCTTTTTTTTCCAGTATGTCCTTGAATCCTAACTTCCGTAGGTAAAGAATTTTTCTCAGCAGCCACTGTGTACCATCCTGCACCTCCAGTGGTCTCTCTACACCCTGCCATTGACATGCAGTAGCTGCAGCCACAGGGCCTTGATCTGGCTGGTGCTCAAGAAGCCCATCAGCCCCCAGGTCCCCTGTTCCATCCCCTGGGACACTGTCCTGACTGCTTTAGCTGTCCACCTTATCCTTCTTTATTCCTATCACTGCAAGAGCCACAGCATCTCCAAGGCTTAGGCAATTTCTGAGTCCTGTGGTGGGGAAGGGATGAGGAGATGAAACCCAAAAGCCCAGTGCAGAGCACAGTTATCACACTGTTACTTAATAATGGATGAATGGATTGTACCATGTAGCATCCCTGACTGTAACAACAGACATGCAGTGGCTCCCCCCATCTATTCTCTCTCTTTCTCTCTCTGTGCAACCATACCAGCAATAGTCATAAAGGCTCTAGCTCTTCCACCGACTTCAGGATTTAGTGGAAGCTGAGGAGCACACTTTGGAAGTATGGAGGAGTGCATACTCCTTGGGGTGCAAGTGGCTCCCAGGAGGAGCTGGATTTAAATGCCTCCACGTCTCCTCCCTTACCCCATCATGGATGGTACTGAGGCATGGTGATACCATGTGGCCTGTCTGAAAGAAGCAATGTGACCAGGAAACCAGCTGTTTTTCTTGGGATGTTAAGGCTGGTTTAGTAACACTCTGCTTTATAATCGCTTTCCCTCCATTCTTGCTTCAGTTTTTTTACCCTCAATCTTGCCATCCTGGGACGTCACCTTCTTAGCAGAAAAGCTGTGCTTTAGGCTGTTTTCTAAGGGAGTTATGGAAAAACAGTTATCACCTAAAGTTATCCAAATATCCAGTGAACTTCTTTTTGAAGTATGAGCACCTGACTAAAACAGGAGAAAATATTCATCTCGTGACGATCTGCCAAAAATGTTATAGTAGGAAACATTTCATCAGGCAGATGCTTGAGCCAGATAACCACTAAGAACCTTCCGATTCTTAAGTTTCTCTTTCTGTGAGACACTACACAAACTTTTTCTAATTTCCCAGAATAATCTGAGTGGGATTTGTATGAAATATCATCAAAGAACATTAGTCATCGCAGAAGGCAAAACAACTTACATGGCAATAGAGAAAATCAGTATTGTGCTGGAAACCCCAACCTAATCCACGTGAGAAAAGACTGAATTCCCTACAAGAGAAAAAACAAGCTAAATAAAAGAGAAACGTATGCCCTGTGACTGAACATGCTCTCTTGGTGGAGTGATTATAGATTAGGCCATTTTATCACATACACCTAGACAAATAATGTATTGTTGTCCTTTTTCAGTCAATCCTGGCTGAGTTCCAAAATGAACCATCATATTGTGAGTATATAAATTCCATGGGGGTAAAATTGCATTTCTACTTCAACTTCTATAGTTCTAAAAGAACTACTCAGTGTTGCTTTATTGTCAACAATTGAATGAGAACTTCTAAGAGGAAGAATCTGCAGATATATACAGCTAGCATTTTCTTGAGCAAGAGGTAGCAATAGCCAAAACTCTGAGATGCTAATTATTTGGGTGATTCTAACAGAATCCTTTTCTCTCACAGGGTGGAGACTGTGGGGAAGGAGTCCAGAGCCGCAGCCTTTTCTGTGTGGTCCACAACGGTTCAATCTCTAACTCTGCTGTGCGTGTAGACGATGCACTGTGTAAAGAAATGCCCTTTCAAGATGGCATCCTGAAGCAGCTGTGCTCTGTGCCTTGCCCAGGTATTTGGTTTTAAACAACTGGGAGTGTGTTCTATGATAATCTTATTTATTTTCTATTATTCTTGTTTTTGTTTTTTTTCTGGAGAAGCTCTACCTCATCAATGGTGAAATTTTTAATTAACTTTAATTCATTTTTAATTGTGGTTATCACTTTGGAATGCATACAGTTTCATTGGAGGCAAAGTAGGCAAGAGAAAGAAAGAACAAAACAAAACACTGGGCTTGGAAATGTAACCGCTAATTTAGAATTTTCTCTCTGTCACTTCCCTGGTGCTTTATCCGGGGCATGTACTCTAACCCCTTTGAGCAATGGTTGCTCCAGGTAGAAAATTTGTTAATAATACCCGACCTGACAGCACCAGGCACATTGGCCCGCACTCAAAAAGTGTTGACTAAATTCATGAGTGGATGAACCTCTGGGGCATGGCATGGTGGGGGCAAGTAAAGCTATATGTTTATGAAAGCACTCTGTCAAACGGTCAAGTTCTATGTCATTTGTGAAGTCCATTACTAGTTACATAAGATATATGAGTTTATTTTCATTCTAATAGCATACGGTGTATGGCATAAGTTTAAGGTGGATTAATATATCCTTATAGTATGGCATGTAACATGTACATGTATGTAAACACATATACACACATATATAGATACACACAAATGTGTGTATGTTTAGTTTATTAAATTCAACATTTTTTAGACCCAAAGATATTCCACTTCAGTGACTGACTTATTTATATGGTTTCTGAGAACATCCATTTTACCACATTTTGCTGCTCTTTGAAAACTGTTACTGTAATCTTTACATCTCCCTTTAAAAAAATGTATTATCTCTAGCAGACATATGGTGTTCTCTAGATATGGCTATGATTTGAAGCAAAGTAATGCCAATCTGGTTTTTAGCAGTCTCCTCCTAAACTGGATTAAAACCTCAATGACTTCATCAGTCTTAGTACCTCAAACTGGAAAACCGGTCAAAGTGGAGTAGAATGTATGGTATCTGGAACCCACCCCTACCACAGCACCACACCCACCGATCTCCCTGTAAGCCCTGTTGGTGTAAATGCTATCAAGTACCAGTTATCATGTTGTTTCTCCCACTCTGTGCTACACAATCATCCAGGAGACTGCCATTTAACGGAATGGTCAGAATGGAGCACGTGTGAATTAACCTGCATCGATGGAAGGAGCTTCGAGATGATGGGCCGCCAATCTAGGTCAAGGACATATATAATTCAGTCTTTTGAGAACCAAGACAGCTGCCCCCAGCCTGTTCTAGAAACACGTCCTTGTACAGGTACCAAGGGCACTTTTCAGTTCTCAGCTTTTATTGATTAATGATGATTCTCTTTTTTATGTGAGGTGTAATAGAACCACTGTTCTCATATTTGCTTGCAGGAGGCAAATGTTACCACTACACATGGAAAGCAAGTCTTTGGAGCAATAATGAACGAACTGTATGGTGCCAACGTTCAGATGGTATTAATGTCACAGGTATTTCTACCTAAGATTCATATGGGCATTTCAAAAAGACCTCTGAGTGTTGCCATTTGTGAGAAGAATTAGCTTACAAATTATAAGCAAGGAAAGACGGGACAGATCGCCTTAGATGATCTTCACAGCAAATTGTCATTAGACCTTTGCAACTCAGAAAGCAAACAATTCTATTTGAAGACCTATAATATATCAAAGAACTTAAAAAAATAAGGTGAAACATGATAAAATTTCCATAAATATCTGATCTGAAGCAAAGACTAAAAAAGACAGATGCTAGTTTGAAACAGTGATCTCTAAAATTTTAAATCATGTACCTTCTTAAAATTTTGAGGATGTATCTTATCATATTCCTGCACTACTGTGCTTCTATATCATATTATGAAACATATACAGAAATTAAAATTAAAAGGGCTTATTAGGATATAAGAAAATTTAAAATATTACATTGTTAATGGTGCAAAAAAATTGTTTGCTGCCAATTATAGATACTTGTATTTGTTCACCGGAAGCTTAGTTTTTGAATATTGTGCTACTCATGATTATTGTTTAATATCTAAATATAGACTGAGGGAAATGTTCCTCATTCATAATGGTGGATACAATTTGACCTACAAATAGTCTTCTCAATAATTTTAAAGTTTTTTATGCCTTCTTATCAGAGAACATTAAAGTTTTATTATTTTTAATTAGTACTGGGCTGACAAAGAACTTACTCTAGGAATGGGAGTAGGAACAGAATTGTCAGTTCTGCATTTTCCTTGTATGTTTGTTTTTGCATTTGGGATTCTCCTTAATCCATACTTTATTCATACACTAATTTATTTCAAGCTACTTGTCCATTCTATAAGTTATTGTTAAAAGCCAATGTACTGTAAATCTACCTAACCAGGAACGCAGAAAGCATCATACTCGGCAATACGAGAGCTAAAGTGGAGAGGTCGCATTATCCAATTCTCCGCACAGAGCACTTCATGCCCAAAGTACAACAGGTGGACATCTGATGAATGAGCTTAGGTTACTAGTATCATCTGCTAAGTATTATTGGAACTTAATTGTGTTTTTAAATTTTAAACAAAAATGTTGTATAAACTATGTAAATTCAAATATTTGCTTCTCAGTTTCCAAAAGATTGTTTCCTACGGGGGTGTACACACTCTACTTTGGAGATCACTGATTTAAAGAGCAGAAAACATCCCCTCCACACACAGTGAGGAGCGATGGGCTTGTGTTGTTATTGCTACTAATGCCCAAGTTAATAACTTCACACGTAGGTGCTAATTCTGGAGTGTGGGGTTGTGTGTGTGTGTGTGTGTGTGTGTGTGTGTGTGTGTGTATTATTTTATTTTTCAAGTAACATTGAGAATTTCATTGCTTCATTCTCAGGGAAAGTGTAGATCTGACTGTTCTTTACACTAACTTATGCCTAAAACTTTTCATGAGCTACAAAATCAAACTATAACTAGTTAATAGTTACAGTAATGCAAAGGCTAGAGCCTATCAGTACAACCAATATGATGAATGAGGTTATCATACTACTCTAAAATATTATGCAACTTCTTAGCTTAGTACTGTGAATCCAGGAAGGCAAGACTAATATGGAAATGATGTTCAGATTATAGAGGCATGAATTATTCCATTCATTTACTCAAAAATAATTACTGAGTACCGTGTCAAGCACTGTGTCAGATGTGTGACTGCCCATCCTGGAGCCTATATTTTGCTCTTAAAAATATGTGTGTGGGTCAGGGTGTGCATGTTTATCCCGATTGAAATACATTTTTAAATGTCACCTAAGTGTTTGGTATTGTGGTCCTACGCATTGATTAGTGGCCTTCTTTAAGCATTTCGTTGCTGGGGATTGGCCTGGTGCCTAGTTGGGTATTCTGGAACTGGAGAAATATATACATAGAATAAGTCTCCAGCAGATATACGTTCTGCTCCTGAACCTAAATTGAGATTTCACCAGTTCTTTTACTGATGCTGGCACTCAGACTTTGCCCTCAAACATAGCCATATGAGAGCATCACATTGTGAGAGAGCAGGTATAAAAAAATCCACTGTAAATATCTTCTGCTAGCAGAGCCTCCCAACTCAAACAATCCATCCTGAAGTAATCAATAAAGTAAGACTGGGCCACATGTCAGCAAATTGATTTTTTAAAAAAATTAAAATACTGTTACAAAGTGGCCAGTGCCTGAGAAGAAAGGCATGTTTTTAATGCTTATCATAGAAAAATCTGCAAATGATGGTGGGATTTCCTTTGTAGGAGGCTGCTCCCCTCAGGCACGTCCCGCTGCTATTCGACAGTGTAATCCAGCCTGCAGAAAACCTTTCTCCTACTGTACACAGGTGAGTCATGTATTGGAGGCTTCTTCAAGTGTTTTAATTGCTGTGCTATACATATGCTGTTGGATGTTTTCCAGTCCACTACAGCCAAGCAAAAGTTCTGCATGCCCATGATACCATCTAGAGGCGTTTGCAGGAGTAATCACAGCTTATTAAGAATTTCTTTGCAGGGCAATTATTTAAGGCAAGCAGTATTTTTTTTTCTATTAATATGTCTATAGGCAAATCTATTTTTCAGTTATTTAATTTATATTAGCTCTAATTATCAACAAATGTTCTCAGTTGATATATTCTTCCATTCTTAGCCTTTCATATACCTAAACTATTTTGAAAATATTATAAACGCATGTTCACATTTGCTAATATTATTTAGTAAAATTAATTATAATATAAATACTATATTGGAAGTTTTTAGTTCATTTTAAATAAGTTAAATATATGCCTATGGATAAAAAGTATATATATGTGTACACACACATATATATTTTTTAATTATTCTTTTTATTTTTTCAATTACAGTTGATATACAATATTATATTAATTTCAGGTATACAACATAGGAATTAGGCATTTATATAACTTACAAAGTAATCACCCCAAAAAATATAGTACCGATCTGACACCATACATAGTTATTATAATATTATTGACTATATTTCTTATACTGTATTTTACATCCTCATGACTATTTTGTAACAATCAATTTGTACTTTTTAATCCCTTCCCCTTTTTCACCCTGTCCCTCCACCCCCCTCCTGTTTGGCAACCATCAAAATGTTCTCTGTAATTATGAGTTTATATTGTTCATTTATTTTGTTCTTTAGATTCCACATATAAGTGAAATCATATGGCATTTGTCTTTTTCTGTCTGACTTACTCCACTTAGCACAATACCCTCTAGGTCCATCCATGTTGTTGCAGATGGCAAGATTTCATTTTTTACAGCTGAATAATATTCCATCATATATATGAATCACCTCTTCTTTATCCATTCATCCATTGATGGATGCCCAGGCTGGCTCCATACTTTGACCATTGTAAATAATGCTGCAATGAACCTATGGATGTACATGGCCCTTCAAAGTAGTGTTTGGGTTTCTTAGGATTACTGGGTCTTTTTTTGTGTCTTGTTATAGCCTTTGTTTTAAAGGCTATTTTATTTGTTATATGTATTGTTATCCCAGCTGTTTTTTTGTTGTTGTTGTTTTTTTCATTTCCATTTTTATGAAGTGTCTTTTTCTATCCCTTTATTTTTTCTGTCTTTCGATCTGAAGTAAGTCTTGTAGGCAGCATATGTAAGGGTCTTATTTTCTTATCCATTAAGTCACCCTATATATCTTTTGATTGCAGGATTTAGGCCATTTATACTTAAAGTAGTAATTGTTGATAAATATGTACTTACTGCCATTTTATTCATATTTTTTATCTTTTTTTTTTTTTCATCTTAAAGAAGTCCCTCTAAGATTCCTTGTAATATCGGTTTGGTGGTGATGAACTCTTTTAGCTTTTTCTTGTTTGGGAAGCTCTTTATCTGTCCTCCAATTTTAAATGATAGCTTTGCTGGGTTATCTTGGTTGTATGTCTTTGCTTTTCATTGCTTTCAGTATTTCATGGCAATACTGTCTGGCCTACAAAGTTTCTGTTGAGAAATCAGCTGACAGTCTTATGGTAGCTTCCTTCTAGGTAACTAACTGCTTATCTCTTGCTGCTTTTAAGATTTTTTTCTTTTTGTCTTTAACCTCTGGCATTTTAATTATGATATATCTTGGTGTGGGCCTCTAGGGTTCATCTTGTTTGAGATGCTCTGTGCTTCCTGGACTTTTACATTCCCTTCGCCAGGTTAAGGAAGTTTTCCATCATTATTTCTTCAAATAGGTTTTCAATTCCTTTCTCTCTCTCATTCTGGTACCCCTATAAAGTCAATATTGGTACTCCTGATATTGTCCCAGAAGTCTTTTAAACTATACTTTTTTTTTAGATTCTTTTGTTTTCTTTTTCCTGGTCTGATTGGATGTTTTCTGCTATGTTATCTTCTAAATTGCTGGTTTGATCCTCTGCTTCATCTAATCACTTGTTGATTCCCTCTAATGTATTATTTATTTCAGTTATTGTGTTCTTTATTTCTGACTAGTACTTTTTTTCTTTTTCTATTTCTTTATTGAAGTTCTCTCTGAGTTCATTGAATATCCTTATAGCCAGTGTTTTGGACTCTGCATCTGGTAGATTGCTTGTCTCCATTTTGTTTAGTTCTTTTTCTGGAGCTTTGTTCTGTTCTTTTATTTGGGGCATGTTTTTGTCTCCCCACTTTGACTACCTCCCTGTGTCTGTTTCTATGTGTTAGGTAGGGCTGCTATGTCTCCCACTCATGGTAGAGTGGCCTTATGTAGTAGGTGTCCTGTTGGGCCCAGTGGCTCAGTCTTCCTGTTCACCTTAGCTGGGTGCACCAGGTATGTCCCATGTGTAGATTGTGTGTCTCCTGTTATAGTTGAGCCTTAGTTGCTGTTTGTATGTCAATGGCAGGGACTGACCCTTGGGCTGATTAGTTGTGAGGACTGGCCATGACTACAGAGGAGGAGCTGTTGTGCAGGGGCTGACCCTGTGCAGCAGGACTCTGGTTCCTGTCTAGTCTTCCCTTAGGTGTGTCATTTGTGGGGTTATTGGGTGTGGTCTGAAGCTGGCCACTGGGTATGTTGGTTCTCAGGCCTCTTGGAAGGGGTTCCATTTTAGGCCAAGATCAGCTGCTGCTTGTGCCCTGCCTGGGGCCACTTGGTATGAGCTACAAAATCATCTGCAGATGGTTGCCACTTGTGCTGGGCTTGGAGGTACCTGTGAGAGGCTAAGACGCAAACCCAGGCTGGCTACCACTAGTGCTGGGCTTGGGACTGCTTAGCAAGAGGCACAGGGAAAGCCGAGTCCAGATGCTGTTTGTTTGGGGTTTGTGAAGATTTGAGAGATTTTAGGAAAATTCATATCATGAACCAAGATAGGCAATTTATATGTAAAAAAAAGATGCCACTGGAAGCATCTTGGGGCAAACAGTGTCAGCTAGGTTGATGTAAACTCAGACAAGGTGTCTGTTTGCATCTGCATGCTGGGTCGGGGAAGGCTCAACGAAAGAATAATGGCTTCTACCAGCATTTCTATTTGTGAGAAAGCTGCCCTACTCCCCTTTCCCTGGAGCCAGATAATTTAGTTCCTATCTGTACATCCCTGGTGACTGTCAAGCTGCTGCCCCATGCATGTGCCCTTTAAGAGGAACACCTGGGACTCCAGCCGCTCTAGGTCTTGCTCAGCCATAATGTCCACTGGTTTTCACAGCCAGAAGTTGTGGGGATTTCTCTCCCTGGAATTGGAACCCTGGGCTAAGGTACATGGTGTGGGGCTGGGACCCTCTCTGCTCAGTGGGGGACCTCCACAGCTGAGCTATCCCTTCCAATTTTTAACCCTCACACTTGTGTGTGGGACTCACCTGTTCCCTGGCTTCACCCGCCCTACCAATGTTGACATGGCTTCTTCTGCATATCCTTAGTTGTAGGACTTCTGTTTAGTTAGACTTTAGGCAATTCTCATTGATGGTTGTTCTGTAGTTTAGTTGTAATTTTGATGTGGTCCCATGAGGAGGCAATCACAGTGTTTACCTACTTCACCATCTTGACCAGAAGCCCTCTTTTTTTTCCTGCAGAAATCTTTCTTCCTGTTTTTCTCCCTTAACTCTCATCTACCACTGCTCAGGAATTAATACAAAATATTCAATGTATTCTAATCAATGGTACTTGTAATGTGCAGTGCATATATAATTTTTTAGAAAGTTATGTGATGTTCCTTAAACAGGCTTCTTCTCATAGGCACATGTCTTTGGTGAAATCTTTTTTGCTCCACTTGGGCATCCCTCTTTGAGTGCAGAACCAAGCCAGAGACGTAGTTCAGACGAGTTAGTGATCAATGGTAGAAGCTGAGAGAGGCATTGAGCAGATGGGGCCATAATAGAGCTCAAAGAGCACACAGCTCAAAGAAAATATGTAAATTTTGTTGCTTTGCTTCTCAGTATCAAGGGCAGATTGGAGTGAGTGGACAGGAATCTGAAATAGGTTGGGGATGGGGGGGAAGGTTGAAGGATAATTTGATTAAATGAAATGTAGTTAACACCCTCTATTGACAAAGAATTGTGAATTCATATTTGGAAGGTGTAAGAATTATAAACCACTAGAAAAAGCTGATGATTTATTTAAGGGTTGACTTTGGAATTCAGAAAGATGAACTACTTATTGGATTTTCATCTCTTTGGCAAGTCTGTTGCTGAAAAACTCTAAAGTGCCATGACATATGCTAATATCAAGTGATTCCAACATTTAAATTCTTTTTTCATCAGCACAGCTCACTGTGTAACCATAAGTGTATTTTTTATGCTGTAGGGCGGAGTCTGTGGTTGTGAGAAGGGTTATACCGAGATAATGAGATCAAATGGTTTTCTGGATTATTGCATGAAAGTACCTGGATCAGAGGATAAAAAAGCTCATGTGAAAAACCTTCCTGGGAAAAATAGACCTGTGAATTCAAAAATACATGATATATTTAAAGGATGGTACCTTCAACCCCTTGATCCAGGTACGTTATGAATAAGAAATATAAATTTTCTCACAGAGCATCGGGTTTTATTTTTATGACTTCTGTTCATGACAGAAAGAATGTAGGGAAGGAAGAAAAAAAAGGAGGGGGCAATATGGTATAGTTCAGAGTTTCTCAAATTTGAGTATTGTATAATATATAGTCCCCTTTAAATGTGAAATGTTTTTCATGGATTGTTGAAGATAAGTTTATCAACCCCAGTCTAAGGTGCTGAATTAAATAACCACAAGTATAACTTTAAAATATATATTAATTGTGAATTATCTCTGCAAAAGTGTATGCTTTTATAACTGTAAATTTGTGTATATGATTTAAATTAAAAGCAAAAATTGGAATAGATTCTCAGGAATGTGCAGATACCTTAGGAAATGTCCAGGGGCTCTATATGGTTTGAGAAACTCTGGTGAAACGATAGCGAGTATCCGTTTCAGAGGCAGACAGACCTTGTTGGTATCATGGCTCAGAACTTCTTCACCTCTCTGGACTTGTTTGCTCATCTATTTAATCAATCTAGAAGCACCTACCCTGCAGGATTGTCATGGGTATTATCAGTGTCAGGCCTGTAAGGCTCAAGAATTGGTGATTATGAAGATCAGGAAAGAACATTTATTGGGTGCTTTCTCTGTATGCCGTGCAATATGTCATATTGCAGGAATCATCTCATTATTTTCTGGCACCCTAATGAGATGTTATCATTCCCATTTTAGAGATTAGAAGTCTGAAACTGTGCAAATAAATTTGACCAAGTTCACACTATCAGTAAGTGACAGAAAGGTTTAAAAGTCATGTCATAAAGGCCTTTACATAACACTGGTCTCTGCTTATTATTTTGTAAAATGGGAAGAAAATGAAAGCAAGATACCCTACCTTTTATACATACCTCTTCTAAGAAACAAAATGCTTCTAAAGACTGAACAAAGTAGCGTAAGTCACAGGGCATGAAGAAGGAAGAGACAGACAAAGCTTAAGCAGAATATACCCTGGGAGTTCTCCTACCAGAACTTCGGCCTTTGCTAGACCAAAAGTGCCTTGATGTTGTGCTTTAAATGAAGCTAAAACCATAGCCCAGACCCAAAGAACCCTAGATTTGGGGAAAGAAACAAGATTTGCACTCTTCAACCCATTTAAAAAGATGATCACAGTATCTTCCTCACTTAGGATTCCCCTGGGCATGTCATAAAGTTTTAAAAACATCTTATTCATGTCGTTACTAAGTTAGCAGTAATTTAACTTTGAAGGACAGATGGTATGAAATGTAGCCAGCCTCACCTGTTGCCTGTAGACCTATTTCAGAAAGAGAATCAGGGTGAGGTTACAGGGATATGAGTATTCAAATCCACAAATGAGCTCCTTAACCTTTGGTAGTTTAATTAAAGAAAGCATCAATAATATCATGTATATAAATATACATATGTGTCTATGTGTATACATATAGATTATTCATATATAAACTATAGTGTACACATATACAGTAATACCTTGGTTTGTGAGCGTAATTCATTTCACAAACAAACTACTCGTATTAGAAGACATCGTTAGGGCCAGCCAAGTGGCTCAGTTGGTTAAGAGTTAGCTTAAGATCGTGAGCTCTGACAACAGGGCCGCTTGTTCAATTCCCACATGGGCCAGTGATGCTGCCCCCGAGCTGAGCTGCTGCTGAGCTGCCAACAGTTGGCAGGATGGCTCAGCTGGTGAGAGCATGAGCTCCTAACAACAAGACTGCCTGTTAGATGGTGGGCTATGCCCTCCCGCAACTACGACTAAACGTGGCACCTTGAGCTGAGCTGCCACCTGGATGGCTCACTGGATAGATCATGCGTCTCTTAACAAGGCTGCCAAGTTTGACTCCTGCATGGGATGGTGGCCATGCCCACCGGCAACTAAGGCTGAACTCTGCACCTTGAGCTGAGCTGCCACGCGGATATCTCAGTGCATAGTGCATGTGCTCTTAACAACAAGGCTGCTGGTTCAACTCCCACATGGGATGGTGGCTGTGCCCACCGGCAACTAAGATTGTAACATAGCACTTTGAGCTTAGAGGCCACGAACTGCCGACAGGAAACCAGATGGCGACGCCCTCTACAACTAAGATTGAAGAACAACAACTTGGCTGGTTCCCCTCCCCAATTCCCCAACATTGTTCTCCTCTCCCAATTCCCCAATTAAAAAAAAAAAGAAATGAAAAGACATCGCTAGTTTACCACGTTAAAATGTATTAGAAATGTTTGCTCATCTTGCAGAACACTTGCAAACCAAGTTATTCTCAATCCAAGGTTTTACTGTATATGTATGTATATAGCATATATACTATATATTTAGTCAGGGAAGAGAGTTTATAACTTTCATTATGTTTTCATGAGTGTATAAATTGGAGCAACCTCTAGGAGGGCATTTAGGCAATATAGATCACACATTGTGACTTAAAATTTCTCTCCTAGGAATTCATCATACAATGCACACACATATACTAATGTAAATGGTATTCATTGTATGATGGCTTGTTATATATAAAATGAGTGAAAACAACATAAATGTCTATAGAGACAATTATGCAAAATATATCATGGATACATTAAAAAGAATGAAATAGACCTTTATGAACCAGAATGAAAATATTTCCTACACATATTGTTAAGTGAAAAAAAAGTACAAATCACAGGAAATGATATGTACCAACTGTATCTTTAAAAATAAGTATTTATGAGTACATATTCAAATGCTTGCATATGCAGAAACAATGATGAAATGATTCGCAAGGAAACTGGTAACAGTCGTAGCTCCTAGGTAAGGAGGGAACTGAGAGGAGAGGGTAGCAGGAAGACTTATTTTTCACTACATATCTATTTTGTAGTTTGAAGTTTGATCCTTTCCATTATGTTACTGTAAAAAGCTATATTCTTTTTTAAGTAACAAAGATCATAGACCACATACCTCTCCACTGGGAATTTAAAAGTACTAGATCCTCCCAAAACTTCACTCTGTTACGTTTAGGGGTAGTAAGATTAAGGAGCACTCTCACTCAGGGGAGACTTTTTTCTTTTTTTTAAATACCAATGTAGAAAACTCAGATTAGGGGATTTCATCATTAGTGTTTCAAAGAGATGAGAATCAAAGCTTTGTTAATAGCTTTATGGTACTAGAAAAAATATCATTACTACACTGAAACCTCATTCTAAAACGTGACTGAAGCTTGAAAGTGTCTTGTAAGCAAGAACTATAATAGGTGGTCAGAATATAATTGAAAGTAATTGTGTTTTACTCCAAAGAATTGTTGTTTACAAGATTTTGATTGTTTTTCATCCTACGGAAGCCTTTAGAATAAGATGCTGATATGTGTTTTTTGGACCTGCTATTAATTACATTCATGGTGTATAATGAACCTTCTGTTTGTGTATATCTTTCAGAAAAAGATTGCAGTCCCTTTGTTAGTCCAATTCTAAGTTTAGTTAACTGCTCACATAAAATAGAGCAAAAAACACTGAAGTTCCAGAAACAGTCAAATTTCTATCATATATTAAAAATATATGCATATACTCAAGTCATATAGTAAAAGTCACAAAACTGATCAGACTATTACCTATTTTTCTATAACTCTAGCAGATAGCAAGTCCAAAATAATATATACTTGTACACATATGGTTATAATTATACAGTGATTTGGTAAATTGATTAGATTACTTGATCATTTGCAGGTTTGGTTCACCCAACATAATTCAGGAAGCAAAGTACGAAAAATGATCATAATAATTTTCTTTGCATTCAGGAGTGTTTCTTAATTATAATTTATTTCTTCTACTTATGTGGTCAAAATGTTTTTGCAATACTTTTGTATTACATGTGTAAGACTCTACACACATGAAAATTAATTCAAAATAGACTGCTAGTTGTTGGATTTTAATGGTTGCCAGTGTTTGTTTAGCATTGTGAAAATTTTGATAGATCATCTTACGTTTCCACCGTTTTTTTAATGTTTGATAGCTATCACGTTTGGGTATTTCCTCTTATGCTTATGACTTATGCAGGTCTCAGAATTCAGATAAGAAATAAAGTAAATAATAAATTCAAATGAGAAATAAAGCTTTTGTATACTGAGCTTGTTATTTTATATCTATTTTAAACAGATGGCCGAGTAAAAATTTGGGTTTATGGCGTTTCAGGTGGTGGTTTTCTTATCATGATTTTCCTAGTCTTCACTTCCTACCTTGTTTGGTAAGTATTAATTACCAGTTTATATTCCATATTTTTATGGGTAGCATATTATACTAAAAGGAAACATGTCGGGATCATTGGCCATTATAACAGGACACTTGAACCCACAAATAATCGACAGTGGAAGTGTTGAATAGTTGAAATTGGAGATCATTATCTTTATTGTCCTCATTTGAAATGACATTCTTTCATTTGATTTTCAAATAACATCAGAAGGCGCAAGAGACAAATCATTAGGACTTTTCTATCATAGTATTTTGATTTATATCAGTAGTTTTCACTTTGGCATCTGTTTTCATTGATATCTCCAGGCACCTCCTGAGGGGATGGATACTTGGGTCCCAGCCCAAAATTCTGATTTAGTTCATTTTGCCTGTGGCTAGCATGTTTAAAAGTGTCCCAAGTAATTCTAATATGCAACCAATGCTGAGAACCATTACTCTAGATAATTCTAGTTCCTAAATGTTGTTCTTAAATTCATCTATTTTGACCAGTCAGATTAAAGTGACCAGTTGGTTCAAACAACCTGTTAGTACATTTTAAATAGTAGAGCCAGGTATTATCTACAATGACCAGCTATGAGAGAAAATTTGTCCATTCCAAGAATCTCCTTTTGTAAGTGACTAGTTCAGAAAATGTATAACTTTAAAAAAAGTAGGATTAGTTTATTATACAGAATATATTTCAGTTGATGAGCTGTTCCTGAAACCAGACAGAAGGAAATACATTTGGATGTTTCTTAGTGTGTCAAGAATATTTTATTAGCTTCCTAAGCAGAATTTTCAAAGGGTTTTTTTTTAATATTATTTTCATGAGATCAAAGTGTTTTAAATATTATTTTCATGAAATCAAAGTTTTACTTTACTTTTTTCTCCAGATCAAGATATTCATTGGTCTCATAGACTATATTGCTGAAAAAAAATTACCCAAGTTTTAATCAAGATTCAAACTCAGCCTGTGTATATATTTAGCTTTCTGTTTCCAAGGCTACATAGTGCTTAAATCTTTGCTCTTGGTCAGTCCAAGTTAGTGAAGAAAATATGACTTTAGTTCTTTCTGCCACTTATAGTGATAGAAATTGAGTCTCTATCCAACTATGTTTCTACAGTGTTATAGTAAAAAGTAACACCTTCAGTTAGTCATTCACCCCATAATCAAATGACTTAACCATTTTTTATATTTGAATTGATGTTTTGTAAGTATTGCCTATATCCTATTTTAATGAACAAATGTGAAGTCCAAAGCCTTATTATATGAGAGATTCAGAGTGATAGGAAGCATTCACTAACATAAAATAGCAGAAAAAGAGGAGAAAGTCTGAAATTGCAGCAAAGGACATGAAGCTTTGACAGATGAGAAACTGCTCTCCAAACAAGGGATTAAATACAGTGTCAGATAATCTATTAGTTTTTAAAAGCTTGGATGTGTTGCAGTTATTAAGCCACATCCCCAATTTCAGTTTCTATGGCTCCCCCGTCCCTCAAATATCAAAGAGATCTAAAGTTCACAGTTAGTAGTGCTCATAAAGTTTACCTTTTTACATTTCTCTATTCCCTCTAACTTAAAGTTGTGTTAACCTTAATCCATTTTTTTAATGATAAATATTTACTGAGGCCCTTTCTGCATGACTCTGGGGATTAATTAGGTACATCACTGAATTCTGATAACATACAATTTTTTTTTAAAAAATCAAATTTCTATTCACGTTTTTGTGACCAAATTGCATAAATATTTATGTACATTGTTTCTTATATCTATTTTTTCATCCTCAATGCCTGGTCTTAATAATCCCGCTTTGGGAAATAACACAGTATCTCTATATTTGGACCATTACAAATGTTCCCTTCTCCAGTCAGATTAGTCTTCCTAAAACTTAGCCAGGTGATCAGCTCCTCTCCTACCCAGACACCAGCAGTGGCTTCCCATTGACAGCAAATGAAACTTGTGTTCTAGCTGCCTGGCCAGCTAACTAAAGTCTTTCACAGTTAAGGCCCAAACAACTTTTCCACTTCATCTTCTACTATTTCCCTATGCTCTAGATCAGTGGTTCTCAACCTTCCTAATGCCACGACCCCTTAATACAGTTCCTCATGTTGTGGTGACCCCCAACCATAAAATTATTTTCATTGTACTCTATAACTGTAATTTTGCTACTGTTATGAATCATAATGTATATATCTTTTTGTTTTCCGATGGTCTTAGGCGACCCCTGTGAAAGAGTCGTTCGACCGGTAAAGGGGTCATGACCCACAGGTTGAGAACTGCTGCTCTAGATGGTCTGGTGGGTTGTAACGTCCCAAATATATTTAAGACCTCATTTTATCACTGAAGAAAAAAATTTAAAAACACAAAGGAAAAAATATTTTACTTCCTTAATAAACTTTTTTATTTTGATAAAGTATTATATTTTCTACTCTAATATTTAACTAATGTGCTTAATTAATGCATTCACATCAATAACATTCTATATTATATATTATATATATTATATATTTTATATGTTATATATATATATATATTATATATTATTGCAATATAAAATACTCATTTTTTCTAATTTTATAACAGTTTATTCAAAGTTCACATGTATCTTTCAGATCAGTCACTGTCACTGCTGTGGTCTCCTTTCCACAGTCAAATTCAGTTTTTCAAGTTTACCATATTTATTTCCATCCCACTTGTTTGAGATACAGCACTTCTTTCAATCTGTTTGTGTTGCTGTTTCAAAGGTTTTATCCCAAGACCCAAGTACCTATGCACATATACTGTAAAACCTTGGATTACGAGTAACTTGGTTTGCAACTGTTCCACAAGATAAGCGAACATTTCTAATACATTTTTTTTAATTTTTTTATTGTTAGTTTCAGGTGTACAGAACAATGCAATAGTTACCCTTTTCACCCTCACAAAGTAACAACCCCCCTCCCCCCATCCACTGCCCTCCCACCCCCATATCATGCTTATCTATTACAATTCCATTGAATCCGTTCCCGCACTCTACTCCATGTCCCGAGGTTCTAATACATTTTTAACGTGGTAAATGAGTGATGTCTTGTAATACGAGTAGTTTGTTTCCAAAACAAATTATGCTTGCAAACCAAGGTATTGTTGTATTAGCGAAGTAGGCCATTTTAATTGTACTGTATGCATATATGTGTGATATCTCACACACACACAGTCATCTTGACCAGAAATTTCCAGGAGGCTTGTCTTTAGAGGCCCCTGTTCCATTTCCTTTCTCCCTAGCTAGTATTCATTTTTCCCTCAAGTAATAAGCATATTTCACCTCAATTCTGAATTCAGAATTGGTGTGATCAGGTATATATACATATGTGCACAATATGTATACATATATGTGATCCCCACCTTAAAAAAATTGTGAAGATACAAGGTAGTGTCTCATAATATAGAAGTATAGGAGTTGAATAAAAGGCTACAATGTCTTTCTGAAGGATCATTTTTTGGGAGAAGAAACCTTATTTTAGGGCACTTAGGGTGGTATATATTCTTATTTCACAAGGAGAATTCTGCTTCCATGATATACTCTTTATATCACATCCATCAAGAATTAATTTGTCACCATTAACTATTGGCATTCTACCAATTCTTCTCATTAAAACTCTAATGCCAACATTTTACTTATGAAACAATCTAGAATAATTTTTCTATGCCTCCTCCCCTAAGGCATTTACTACATAATGGTATTATAGTTATTTATATAAATACCATCCTCATCTACCAAACCCCAAAGACTTTATGGGAGGGAGAGTAAGAGGTATAATGGCTATGTTTTATTGATATATTTTTCAGAGCACAAGTTTGATAAATATATATTGAACAAATGAATAAGTGGATAAATAAATGAGTAGATAGGTAAAACACATAATGTATTGTGCATGATTTTTAGAGACAAAAGTCAGGAAAAATGTCTAATATTTATATGTCAAAATGCATAAATTGCTTTATTCAGTCCTCATAATAATATAATGAGATGTTGTTATTATCATCCTCATTTTAAAGAGAGAGTAAATGATCCTCAGAAAAGTTAAATAACTTATCTAAGGTCATCATCAGCCTGGTAAAATCACTAGGTTTGCCTAACCCCACAGTGTATGCTCTTTCCACTGGTCTTCCAGACTCCGTAGTTTCTTTCCCTTGAGTAATCCTAAAAGCTCTTTAGACTAAATGCAATGTCTACCCACTTTCATATTTTTCCGAGACTCCTTGTTTCCCAAATTAAGCTATAGACCTGGGAACAGATCTAATTGAGATCAAATCATGTACCATTTACCCTTACCAATGAACTGCCTGTAGAATGCAAATAGTTACTATCACAGCATCTACGTCTATTAAATAGTGTGCAGAAGGTTAGAGGAGGACAGTTTAGGAGATTTTATATTTTTCTCTCCAAAATAAAAGGTTTAGGACTAAAGAACTACAATGATATGTCAGATCTTAGGTGTATATGAGTACTTATAGATGAAAGCAATTTATAATAAAATTTGGAAATGCTTTTGAGAAAATATAGAAAAAGTCTTCTTAAGGACCATATCATTCAGATATTACTCTGTACCTCTGCCATCAGTGTTTGAAGTTTTTGAAAATATTGCTGATGTCCCAGCTCCCCTGAAAATAAAGATCCCTGAGGCACTTTAGTGGAGACTGACACTGGGTGAGCTTGTAGCTAATCTACACGTAGATATAGTGCCTGGAAGTTCACCAGATAATGACATCCACTTCTGACTTGCCCAGCACAACTCAGCAAATGGGCTCTCATTCTCAAGTTTGAGAATGGTACCCCTACTTTCAGGGGCTCATTCCTCAGGAGTAACTTCCTAAACAAAAGACAGTTTGTGGCTTTCATCAAACTATTTAATCTCCACTGGCCTGGTTGATAATGTGGCTTGAATTTAACAATATTAAGAAGTACTAACAGTTTTCTTGTCAGTTCATAATGAACTCACTTTTCTGGCTTCATGTGTTTATCCTTTGCTAAGATT